CAGCCCCAGGCTGCTCATGTGGCCCTGCCTGTCCATCCCCCAGCCCTCGTGACTGCCTCTGCCCCAGCTGTCACAGCGCTTCCTCTTCTTCCCTTGTTTCCTCTTTCCCCCCCTTACAGAGCAGACCTCACTGGCTGTGGGTGGGGCTGTCTGACTCACCCACAGACTGGTCTGGAAGACAGAAATGATTTCTTCTGTCCAAGCTGCACCAACCAAGAGCTGAGGTTGGAGCTGAGCGGTCTCCAAATAACAACAGCATGAAGACAGACACCAGGGGTGGGGTCCCCAAAGCCCAGGGGCCCCTACCTGGTCGCTGCGAAGGTGGCTGTGTGTGCGTGTGTGACTGGGCTAGGTGACTGTATTACAGCTCTCCAATCGGCCTCTGGCTCATGGCTCATCCCCAGGGCCCTTGGTGCTCTGGAGGAGTGGGAGAGGACATGATGTGGGGGGAGGGAAGCTCCTGTCCCCTCCCCAGGAAGGACACAGCTCTGCCATCAGCGACACGCTCCCATGTGTACCCTTCCCACAGCCTGCATGCGCGTCGGCCACTACTTCCCAGGCTCACAACCCTCACCCTCTTCCACTGTTGCTGCAATTGCCTGCACAAAGCAGCCGCGGCTTCTCTTTATCCGAGCTTCCAGGTCCCTACTCAGCTTTCTTCCCAGAGCAAAGCAATCTGTCCTGTATCTTCCTCTCTCCTAAAAAACATCACCATTCAAGTCATGAATTTCAGAGCCCTGGGTTGTCCTGGGTCCCTGGGACTGCTAGCCAATGGCTCCCTTTCCTGTGAAGGATCTTGGCAGCCAAGCCCTGGGTCTATTTGCTTCCTCTAAGCAAGCACCCAGGCCGCAGCCCGAGAAAGAGGACAAAAAACAAGGGACTCCTTGGGCTGACTCCCCGTCCCAGGTGAGCTTTGGCCCTCAGTCCTCAGGGGCCTCCTGACCTGGCCTGCCCCTGTCCCATCTCACAGGCTGCAGGCCTGGCTCAGGACAATTGTCCTATGGTATCTACTCTGGGCTGGCCTTTCTCCACCGGGATATCTCAGGGTGGTGGTGGAGGACTCGGCAGGGGGTGGAGGTGGTGTCACTGTCAAAATTGGCCCTGACCTGCCCAACCCTCTATCCTTTTTAGATCTCACCCTAGAACAGGCACATCCAAGAACAGGCCACTTAGTCCATTTCCTCAGAGCCAGGGCCAAGGTCACCTCCAGCCACAGCCCGCCCAGCCTCCTGAGCAGCCCTCGACATCTCCTAGCAGGGATGACTGGGCAGGCACCAAGGAGACAGAGAGTCCTTGACCAACTCTTAGGTTGGGAGCGCTCTGCTGTGCTTGTTCTTGTTTTTCTGTTGTGTTCATGATGGAGGTGCAATGTTCTTTGGGGGCCTTGTTTGTTTGTTTTTGATCCGTCCTTACTTTGGGACATACTGTTCCTTGCTCCTATCCCACAAGCTTTCTTAGTGCAAAGTCTTAACAAGATCTATAAAGCTATTATCACTTGCCTTCAGAGGAATAAGGGGACTGTATTAGCTGAGAGATAGCTAGTTCCTCTCTCTATCTGACTTGGTTACTCAGTAACCAGCATCCGGTGGGAGGAGGTGGGACTCCAGGAGCTGGCACCTCTTGCTAACCAAGACTTAGAGGGTCATGGGGCAGCCAGCCCCGCCTGGAACAGCCTGGGGGCCTTGTCCCTTCACCCTCCTGGCCCAGCCTGGCCCAGCCTTGAGCTGCCATCCCTTACCCCGGGGCTAGGTAAGACCCAGCTGTGCATATTTTGCCCTCTGCTCCCCTTCTGGGGCCTCTCGATTCACGCAGGAAGGACTTGTAGGAAGAGAAGTGAAACCCGCGAGCGCACAAGGCTGCGTGTCAGCTGTCTTTCTGTGAGTTAGCCTGGGGTTGGCAGCCTCGGCCTCAGCCTAGCCCAGCTGAGTCCTGACCCGTGTCTCCCCGCCCCTTTGAGCTGTGGCCTCTTGGCTTTGCCTCAGCACACCTCACAAATGGGAATGGAAGAAGCACCGTTCTGAGAGGAGGCCGTGCCTGCGACTTTCAGCTCATCCCTCCACTCTCCGGAGTCTAGGCAGGAAGTCCTGGGAGAGGCCAAGGCCAGGCCTAGCACCACACAGCGCAGCTGAGTATCTCTGACCCCCAGGAATCCTGACTCTCCTCCTGTCTTGGGTGTCCGGTTCCCCGCAGGGGTCAGATGCCAGTGTAGCTCCTGCTGGCCTCCTGTCTGACCCTGAGAAGCAGTGGGATGGCCCCAGCAGGTTCCCCCATAGGTACTCGACCCACCCCAGGCAAGCTCTGCAGGATCTCTGTGTTCCTGCAAATCCAGGTTGGCATCCTGGGCAGACACAGCCCCCAAATCTCTGCCTTCCAGGGATTCCAAGACCTTGAACCCCCACTCCTCAGAGGAGTTTGGTGCCAGCCCCCAGCCTCACTCAGCTCTCACAGCAGAGCAGCCTGGGCTGCCTCAGCCCTTCTAGCTCCTCTTCCTCATCTGAAACAAGACCAGCTGCCATTTTTAAGTGCCTCCTGGGGGCTTTGTGATGGTCACCACCTTGCTAACCTGTCATTCATCCTGCAAGAAAGGCTATAAATACCCTGCTTTTCCAGTGAGCAAACAGGCTTAGGCTTCTGCCTGTCTCCCAAGCCCTTGCTCTTTTGTCTTAGAGTCAGCAGGTCCTTGGCAGGCATCTGCTTGGGGCCCTGTGTTGCTGCCATGTGCCTGGGAGTGGCCAGCAGGATGAAGAAGGCACAGGGAACAAGCCCTGCCCTGCAAGGAGGAAGCCTGTCTGGGGCTCCCCTCCAGAGTCAACAGGGTACAGGCCTGGGTCTTCACTTGCCTTAGCCTCATTGCTGTCCAGAGCATCCTAGACCTAGGAAGTCCCTTCCCTTGCAGTGGCTTCCCAGTACCCTCAAAAGATGGCCTGAATTCCACAGCCTGGACCCCAGGACCCTGCCTCCTCTCCAGCCACCTGTCCTCCTGTGCTTGGCTCAGTCCCACCTCCCAGATGTCCTGACTGATGCAGAGTTCCCCAAATAGGTAGTGTTATTTCACGCCTCTGTGCTTTTGCACACACTGCTTCCTCTCCCCGGCACGTCCCTCCTGCCTAAGCCCCGCTGGCCTGGCCACCTCCTCCTTGTTTTGGAAAGTGCAACTGAAGCCTCACCTCCGGGAACCCTTTCCTGACACTGCTCCCATCCCACTGGGTTCGGTGTCCTACCTCTGTCCTTCCGGGCCACCCTCTTTCATAGCACCGATTCTGCCTGGGGGCTGCAGGAGGGCGGTGGACCCTCTTAGGGGTCCTCTCACTGTAGCCAGATCCCCAGCACAATGCCTGGCCCCCCCCGGATGGAGGGGAAAGCAGCCCATGTGCACCAGAAGCATGAAGTCTTAGTAACACGCAAAAGGCCACCTATAAAGGATTGAGAAAGTCCCGCAGGCTTGCCGTGTTTCTCCAGAACCCTGCAGCATCCCGGGCAGGGCGCTGAGCTGGGGTTAACTGTGGAGCTTCTGTCTTCTTCCATCGGTTGTTCTTTGCAGCGGGGTGCCCTCTCCAAATTCAGAGCCCCTGAACCAGGAATCCTGAGCCACACGGCAATCGGTGGGACCCAGAAAACCCTGCTGCCACCAAGCTTGCCCATGCCAGTCACCGTGACAGGCCCTTGGAGCAGGTAGCCAGAGAGAGGTAGCCAGGTGGCTCGAGAGGTCAGGCGTGGAGCAGCATGAAATCCAGACTACACGGTTAGAACATGGTTCTGACGGAATGCCAAGGCACTGGCATGTGTAAGGAAAGTGCTAGAGCTGGTGTAGCTTCATTCCCTTAAGAAGACAAACCATGGGCGATGGAGGTGATGGGCCCAGATAGGAAGCTCAAGTTCAAGGGTGCAGGAGGCATGGCCCAACCCAAATTCAACTTTGTGAAAACACTCCTTATTTCACAAGTGTCAGGCCGCATTGCTTCACGGCACGGCCCCAGGGAAGTGAGGCTGGGGTTTGGAGCAGATTCCCAGGCAGCGCAGGGTGAACATCCAGTGTCTGCCATCGGGTCCGCAGGGGTGGGGGAAGGAACGGACTCAGGGCTCCCACCCCTCTCGCGAGAGCTGTAATGGGCCAAGGCCACGGTTCTTTCCTGATGCCCGGCCCTTCCTCCCAGCCTTGGGGACCAGACCGAGCTCTCTTCTCCATGTCCTTCCTGACTACGGGCTGCTGACTCGGCTCAGCTGATGCCCTGCTGGTGACTCAGGCCTTCGGGAGAGGGGAAGGGGCCGCGGTGCAGTGGAAACTTTGAGTGCAGCCCCACTGGACCGTTCTTTCCATCCCAGACCAGCACAAGGGCCGAGAGGCAGGGGGTGGGAGAAGGCACATGAGGTGTGGGAGCCACGGCTGGAAAGAATGATCTTCCTGTCTGGAGGGGAACGGGCCAGCCTGGGGCCAGCTGTCCCACTGTTGAGTCATCCTCAGCTATGGTCTGGGCTTCTTCTAATGGGGCCCAAGCAGCTGCTGTGTCTGCTGTGTTCCAACTTAAGAGGAGCACTGGCCTCACTTTGAAGACAGGCATCCACCTTTGAGCTTCGCCCATCATTTCTGACATTTTACAAACCATTGTATCCCCCTACCCCAGTCCCCGTCACTCCTGTGCAGACTGAGCGCACTTACCTTAGAGAGGCTGGACAGGAGCAGAGCGGGGTGGCCAGGGGCTGGAGCAGGAGGAGGGGTTTCCCTGGGGCATGCAGGGTTGAGCCAGCTCTGTTACAACTCCAGGGGTCAGCCAGCATTGGGGAGATCAGTTCCCTGTCCCCCTGGCCTGTGAGCATTTGTTCGTTGCCTTCCCTTGGCCTCTGTGCCCAGGGGAACTTGTGTCTCCAAGTGGGGTGTGAGGGAGAAGAGCCGATGAGGCCGTGGCTGTGGCTGCCGGCAGCGTGGGCCCAGGTGGGGGGCTGCCCAGTGCTGCCAGCCAGGCCTGACTTCCTGCTGAGCCCCACCACTGCTTCTCCTGCAGGTTCCGCGGTTTCATCCTGCTGCTGACCTTCCTCATTTATACCTGTTACCACATGTCCAGGAAGCCCATCAGCGTCGTCAAGGTGAGGCCGGGCAGCACGGAAGATTGCCGGAGATGCTGGTGCCGGCAGAAATGCACGAGAGTGTCTGGACCTCAGTCCATAGCCCTCCCGCACCCTGGCTGTGGTTCCCAAAGCTGCTCCCTGCCCCCTGGCAGACCCACGTTAGGAGCTCTTCTCCCCAGGGATGTCGCTCTAGGTGTTCCTTTTGCGTTTATTCAAGACAGCTGTGTTGGTGGGTGTGGATGGGATAGGAGAGCAGGGCCCCTGGGCTGTGTGGGTCCGATGTGACCACTTTCCTTGTAGTCCATCCCTGCAGGAGATGGCGCCAGCAAAAGCAGGGGGACTTGGGATATGGTGGGGAGGCAGTAGCACGAGGGTGGCTCCTTCTGAAATCTGGGCCGCGTGGACGCTGGCGTGAGGTGATGAGCCCTGACCTGTGTATGCCAATGCCTCTGCAGAGTCGCCTGCACCAGAACTGCTCGGAGCTGGAGCCCGTCAACAACACCCACAGCCCCAATGACACCACGTGGTGCAGCTGGGCCCCATTCGGTAAGAGCAGGGCACATTCCCCATTCCCTCTTCCTCAAGATGGGGCTGTCCAGAGCCAGAGAGGCTTCCTGCAGGGGCAGCCGGGCAGCCAGCTTTCTGTCTCTCCCATCTGCTTTCAGACCAGGACAACTACAAGGAGTTGCTGGGGGCTGTGGACAACGCCTTCCTTGTGGCCTATGCCATTGGCATGTTTATCAGGTAACGAGAGCTGCGTAGGGTGGATGGTTCAAAGCTTCTGTCCTCTCCCCGTCCAGCCATGCCTAACCCGGGGGCAGCTGGGCTGAGGTGAGAAAGCTGATGGCTCCCTGAGGTGGGAATGAGACCAAGACTTCCTCTCGTGCCATCAGCTCCTGCCCCACCTCCTGTCCTCACCGTGGTCTCCGGGGTCTGCTCCTTCACCTGCCGACTCCACTGCTGGCAACCCCTGCTCCTGGTCAGGCCTTCCTGGGCGCTGCTTTTGGGTTTCTTCACTCAGAGAGCAGCGTTGGCAGGTGTAGACTGGGTTCTCTAGGGGTAGCCCCGGATGCAGAGAGAGCCAGGACCATCCCTACCCTGGGCTGCGTCGGCACGGGCACACAGCAAGCATGCACTTGGTGTAGCAGGTGTGGTGCACACTGTCTGGCATGACAGCTGCATAAGGCAGGGCACTTCCTCTGAGAGCTCACCGCAGGGGTGGCCTGTCCGTACCTCAGTAGCTGATGGCAGAACAGGGAGGCGGCGCTGTGACAGACGTGGCCCTCGGCACCCCTCCTCCCCCGCCCTGGGAGCTCGGTCACTTAGTCCAGGCTGGGATTAGAGAAGAGGGGCCAGGGAGGGCTTCTTGGAGGAGATGACAAACGACCTGGTGACGAGGAAGGAGGGTTGGGATCGTGAAGCTGGAGACTGGGTGGAAGGATGCAGTTACAGAGAGGGTCTGTGTCCTGCCTGGGCGAGGGGCAGCCCCCGAGGGATAGCACCCTAGGGTGTTGAGCTGAGATAGGTAACTCCCAGGGTGGGAGGCCAGACTGGTGTCCTGAGAGCCCAATCTGACGACAGCCTGGGCTGCAGAGATGAGGAAGGCTCGAGTCCCTGCTGCGGTGACAGAGTGTCGGAGGTGGACAGGGCAGCCCTCGGAGACGGAGTGAGAAAGCTGGGGAGGAGGGGTTGGGGGCAGGGGTGGCTTCAGGTCCGGTCTCTGTGGCCAGGTGTTTGGTGAGGGCTCGGGCAGGGGCCTGGTTGGCAGAAGGAGGCAGTGGAGCTCAGGGGGCTGCATTTCGAGTGCTCTGGGGACATCCGAGCAAAGATGTCCGGAGGGCCCCTGGTTGTGATGCTGCAGCTCTGCAGTGCAGACCGGGGCTGAGGATACACAGCCGGGCTGTTGGGCAGATAGGTGGTGGTTAAACCGTACAGGTACTGAAGAGACTGCTCTGGGGGGAAAACCGGTGACAGAGGGTGCCCAGCCAGGAGGGAGGAGGATGGGCAGTGTCACGGCTTGGCCAGCAGGGTCAGGGAGGGCAGAGGGGTCCGATAAGTGAGGCTGAGGCTGCCCATGACGCGAGGCAGCACAGAGGTCATGGGCGGCCGTCTGGGCCAGGGCTGCTCCAGCTGCACGTGGTGGAGATCTGAGGAGTGGACATGGGAGACTAACCACAGACCCCCCTCTCTGTTCCAGTGGGATTTTTGGGGAGCGGCTCCCCCTCCGTTATTACCTGTCAACTGGAATGCTACTCAGTGGCCTTTTCACGTCGCTCTTTGGCCTGGGATATTTCTGGAACATCCACATGCTCTGGTACTTTGTGCTCATCCAGGTACAAGTCTCCGTCTTGCATTCACTTCTTGGTTCCTATGGCAGAAAGGACCCTGGGGACCGCTGGTCCTTTCCAACCACCCAGGTCATCGCAGATGGGGACTTGGCCTCCTTGCTCCCAGCCAGGGCCCCTTCTGCCACCCTGCGGGGGGCCCTAGTTCCCCACCCCGATGCCATGCGTTGTGTCCCAGGCCAGTCTGCCTGGAGCACTTTCCTGAGCTCCTACCGCAGAGAAACCAGCACGTGACACTGGGGTGTGTGTGGACATGCTTATGAGGGGAAGGCCAGGTGCATCATGTCAGGTGTAGAGGGCCCCTCGGCACCTGGGTGCATGGCCCAGGCAGGTCCCACCCTCTGCCATTCTCCCCGCAGATCTGCAATGGCCTCGTCCAGACCACAGGCTGGCCCTCCGTGGTGACCTGCGTTGGCAACTGGTTCGGAAAGGGGAAGTGAGTGATGAGGAAGAGGGGAGGGAACGGCCAGGGAGGGCAGGGGTTCCCGTGGTCACTCGAGGGCCTCTGATGTAATCTCGGCAGGAAAGATTAGAAAGCTCTCTCCCCCTTACCGATTTTCACCTGCCGAGATTCAAACATTTCAGTGGCTAAAGAGCTGTGCTGCTCTTCTCGCCAACGAGGCTTTAACCCAGAGAACAAGTACCCTTGGTTCTATGTGAGGACTTCAAAAACTTCATGGGAAAATGAAATTAAAAGTTTATTAAAAGTAAATTAAAAATGTACTGTGGTGCAAACAGTTTTGAAATCCATTCATACTTTTTTTAAGGTTTGTTTATTTATTTGAAAGAGTTGCAGAGAGTTTGATCTTCTATCTGCTGGGTCACTCCCCAGTTGGCCTAAACTACCAGGGCAGGGCCAGGTCAAAGCCAGGAGCCAGGAGCTTCATCCAGGTCTCCCATATGGGCAGCAAGGGCCCAAACATCTGGGCCGTCTTCCACTGCTTTCCCTAGGCCATTAGCAGGGAGTTGGATTGGAAGTGGAGCAGCTGGGACATGAACTGGTGCCCCTATGGGATGCTGGCACTGCAGACAGCAGCTTAGCCTGCTACACCACAGCACCAGCCCTTTAATGCATACTTTTCTCAGAATACACATTTTCGTGCATGGATTTTAATCTTCTTGCCCCCTTCACCAATAAACTTATCTTTTAATTCCATTTTCTCTGAACTTTTTGAAGTACACTTGTACTTTTTTTTCCCTCATAACAGATGAATTTCCATTTCTTTTTAAAAGTTGCAGGACTTCTAAAAATATTTATTTATTTATTTATTTGAAAGGCAGAGGGACAGAGAGAGACACACTGAGAGAACTCCCAAAGCCAGGAGCCAAGAATACACTCTAAGTCTCACGTGGGTGACAGGAGCCCAATTACTTGAGCCGTTGCTGCTTCCTCCCAGGTCTGCAGTGGCAGGAAGCTTGGGGCAGGAGCCCCAGCTGGGTATGAACCCAGGCACACTGATGTGGAATGCAGGCGTCTTAACCAACATTTTAACTGCTAGGCTATGGCTGGCGCCGCGGCTCACTAGGCTAATCCTCCGCCTTGCGGCACCGGCACACCAGGTTCTAGTCCCGGTGGGGGCGCCGGATTCTGTCCCGGTTGCCCCTCTTCCAGGCCAGCTCTCTGCTGTGGCCAGGGAGTGCAGTGGAGGATGGCCCAGGTCCTTGGGCCCTACACCCCATGGGAGACCAGGAGAAGTACCTGGCTCCTGCCTTTGGATCAGCGCGGTGTGCCGGCAACAGCGCGCCGGCCACGGCGGCCATTGGAGGGTGAACCAACAGCAAAAAGGAAGACCTTTCTCTCTGTCTCTCTCTCTCTCACTGTCCACTCTGCCTGTCCAAAAAAAAAACAAAAACACACACACACACACACACACAAAAAAAACTGCTAGGCTAAATGCCTGTTCCTGAATTTCCATTTCCAATGAAGGCAAAAAGCAGCCTGTGAAACTGTTCTGCTTTTTTTTGTTTGTTTGTTTTTGTTTTTTGTTTGTTTGTTTTCCCCCTTGAACTGGCTTTTGTGCAAAAGAAAAAGAAAAAAAAATGTTGCTTTAGAGCAGGGTTTCTCAGCCTCTGTCCTGTTGACCTTTTCGGCTCTTAAACTCTTGGAGCAATGGGGATGTCCTATGCGCTGGTGGGGGGTTTAGCAGCGTCCCTGGTGTGTGCCCACTCGATGCCAGTAGTATGCCCCCAGCCCCAGGCTGTGACAATCAAAAGTCCCCAGCTGTTCCCAGATGTCCCCTGGGAGGCTTAACCCCCTGTTTGAGGACCGCTGCTTTAGAATGAGGCCCGTGGGGCAGAAGAGAAGAAAGGGGGGGAGGCACACCCTCACTGAGTAGACAGCACCTGCCTGGAAGCCCTGTGGGTGCTCACTTGGGGAGCTAGCCCAGGGCAGTGGGACCCCAGCAGAGGCCTCTGCCTCTCCCTGACCACGTCTTTGAGTGTCCTGGTTTTCGGTAGCTCCTGGAGGCCATCAGTAGCCAGCCTTTGAGTCTGCTGCAAAAGTTGCCCTGAACAATATGCTGCTTTTTTATAAGACAGATTTACAGAGAGAGCTAGAGACAGACAGAGAGAGAGAGAGAGAGAGAGAGAGGTGTTTCATCTGCTGGCTCACTCCCCAAATGGCCAGAGCTGGGCTGATGCAAAGCCAGGAAGGAGCCAGGAGCTTCTTCCAGGTCTCCAACCAGGGTGCAGGGGCCCAAGCCATCTTCCACTGCTTTCCCAGGCACATTAGCAAGGAGCTGGGTCTGAAGTGGAGCAGCCTGGACTAGATCCGGCACCCATATGGAATGCTGGTACTGCAGGCCAGGGCTTTAACCTGCTGCGCCACAGCTTTTACATTGTTTTTTAACTTTTCTGTTCTTCCCCCTTTTGCTCCAGGCGGGGGCTCATCATGGGCGTCTGGAATTCCCACACATCCGTGGGTAACATCCTGGGCTCCCTGATCGCCGGCATCTGGGTGAACGACCAGTGGGGCCTGTCGTTTGTGGTCCCTGGCATCATCACCGGGGCTGTGGGTGTCCTCACCTTCCTCTTCCTCATCGAATGTGAGTACCCCTCTGTCCCCACGGGGCACCCAGGGGAGCCTCGAGCCTCTCTGCTTCCGGGAGGAGGCTGCGGGTGTGCAGGAAAGATTACAGGTCATGGAGTTGGGGGCCCAGCGGTGACTCTGGAAAACATCCCCTGGAGGCCAGGTTTTCTCCTTTGCAAAACAGGAATAACAATACTATCTACTACTTAGGGTGTCTGCAGGCTTACATGAGACAGTGTAGTTACCGATTTTGGTCCATAGCAGAGGTGTGAGAGGGGGTATGGAGGGGAAGGAGCTTTCTTAGGGGAACAGATGTCTCACCTTGGGTGCAGATAGCCTGTCTTCCCCATGCTTGGACAGCCTCCTGAGTTAGCAAGGCCAGATGTTCACAGCCACATCTTAGCCCACCGCTGGTTGTTAAGAGGGCCAGGCCTGGGTTCCTGCACATTCCACACGTGGGATGTGCATTAGCACACTGAGGATGGCGTGGGGCTGGCTGCCTGCATGGCTTGGACCTAGAGCAGACTGGCCGCTGGGAGGCTCCTTAGAAGGCTGGTTTCTTTCAGATCCAGAGGACGTGGACTGCACCCCTCCTCAGCACCACGTGAGTGTGAGCCCCAGCCCGAGCCCGAGAAGCCTTGTCCCCGCCCCTTGTCCTGCTCCTTGCAGAGGGACAGCTCCCCAGGAAGGGGGAAGACTGGAGAGGGAGCTCAGCCCCCCAGTGCCTTCACAGATGTAATGTCAGGCCCTTGGGTTGGCTCCCCAAGTTTGGTTCCTGGCCGTGAGTCCAGCCCAGGAGAGGGCTGCACCCCCTCCAGCTCACAACACGGGTTCCTCTCTCCTGTGCAGGGCGGGCCAGACGAGGACCAGGACAACCCTGAGGACCCCGGGAATGGTCCCTATTCTAACAGGGACAGCAGCCTGGAGGCTGCGACCAGCTCCAAGGAGCCTTGCGCTGAGCCTGCTGCCATCAGCTTCCTGGGGGCGCTCAGGATCCCGGTGAGACGGGTTGGGACAGAAGGAAGGCAGGGCCTCTCTAGACTTTTCCGTGCGTACATGTGTAGGGTGGGTGGCCTGCCTGGGGAGGGCGCTGTGGGAGACGTGTCTGGATGCAGTGTGGAACAGCAGGTGCACGCTGCCTCACCAAGCTTGGACATGTGCTTGAGGCTGCTTTGGGTGTGGATGATGGACAGTCCTGGGGTGGTGCTGAGCTGCGCCCTGGGCATCACGCCCTCTGTCCTGCTCTCCAGGGTGTGATCGAGTTCTCTTTGTGCCTGCTTTTTGCGAAGCTGGTCAGCTACACCTTCCTCTACTGGCTGCCCCTCTACATCTTCAATGTGGGTGAGTCCGAGGGAGGAAGAGCCGAGGGGAGCAGTCTAGGAGGGTGTCCAGTCTAGGAAGGTCTCCAGGCCGTCGCTGGTGGGAGAGGAAGCCCACATGTGACAGATGATTCTAGCATAGGCAAGATTTCTCCCAAGCCACTTTTCCCGGGACCCAGTGAGATTTAGCTAGTGCAGTGGGAAGCTCAGCCCCATGTACTAGCTCCAGGCCCTTACTGTAGGGGACCATTAGGAGACTGCATGCCTCCCCACCTGCTTCCCCAGGCTTGTATGGAGGAGAACCCCTCTCCAGGATGCTTGGCTCCTAGGTGGGTAGGATTGCGGTCCTGTAAAAGTCTGCCCTTTGCATCCCTCCCCCAGCCCAAGGAAGAGGGCCAATCAAGCTGCCCCCCACCAGGTAGCCTGGCAGTGACCCCAGTGTCCTGGGCCGGCTGGGCTGAGCTGGGAGTACTGCTCTACCTTGCACACTCCTCTCACCTGCCTCTCCCTGCCCCGGCCCCTGCCCAAGAACACATAGATGAGGCATGATGGCTTTTGTGGTTGCAAAAGTAAGTTTCCTGTCCACCCGGCCTGGGTCTCTGGCTTTTCCAAAGGTGGGACTGCTCTACCCAGCCCCCAGGAGCCTCAGACCTCTTACCCAGGGCCGCTGCACTCCCTGCCAGCCCCGGGGGACTGACACTGCCCTGCAGCACACGTACTTGCTCCAGATAGGCTGCGCTGGGATTAGTCACGCGGCTGAACCTCAGGCCGAGGCTTGCCTCGCAGTCTGCCCAAGGGGCCTGCCTGTGATAGGGGCAGAGTGCCGGGGCGGTTTCATGGACACTGCGACTCTTTGTTTGTGGCCTTGGTGCTGACTTCAGCACATGAGTCAACCTTGAGGGTGGGGCTCGGGCTCCCCGTTTTTCCTGCAAGTTCCCTTCCGGCTCTGTTTAGTAGCAGAGACCTAAGGTGACAGGGAAAAGCTCCCGGTGGGATCGGCCGGACAGTTGGAGCAGAGCAGAGAAAGTGGCCGGCTGGACCGGGGGACCGAGGCCCAGTCCGTAGCAGCTGTGCTGTAGGAGGATGGCCCCTGGGACGGGGTCCTCAGGGCCCAGACCCCAGGCTTGCAGGGGAGGGGCGTCCCGCTGGGGAAGAGGGTGGTACAGGACTGGGCATCCACCCCAATCTGCAACACGCTTCCTCCGTGGCCCTGGCCAATCACTGCCTCACGGGTCTGAAAAGGAGGCAGTGGAGATGGATGGGTTCCCTGGCCCTCCAGGGTGGGTGTCCTGAGCCCCTGTTCTGACTACATGTGTGTGTGTCCCACAGCCCACTTCAGTGCCAAGGAGGCCGGGGACCTATCCACGCTCTTCGATGTCGGCGGCATCATAGGTGAGGCCTGCCCTGCTCTCCCAAGGGGCTGTCTTCCCTGCTCCTCTTGTAGGGGGTGCTAGAAGAAGGGCCAGGTCCAGTGGGCCCTGACCTGGGCAGCTGGTGCCAGAGAGGGAAGGCCTTTTGGATTTTCTCTCATTTCAGCTCCTATGGGGGAGTCTAAAAACGATGGCCTTGGGTTTGGTCTTCTTACAGTGACAGGTAGAGGGAGGGCTATAGAGGATGAAACCCTGCTGTTTTTTTTTTTTTTTTAAATTTACTTATTTATTTGAATGGCAGAGTTACAGAGAGAAAGAGACAGAGAGATATCTTCCATCTGCTGTTTCACTCCCCCCAGATGGCCACAATGGCTAAGACTGGGCCAAGCTGAAGCCAGGAGCCAGGAGCTTCTTCCAGATCTCCCATGTGATGCACGGGCCCAAGCACTTGGGCCATCTTCCACTGCTTTCCCAAGAGCATTAGCAGGGAGCTGGATCAGAAGTGGAGCAGGGGCCAGCATTGTGGTGCAGTGGATTAAGCCACTGCCTAGGATGCTGGCATCCCATATGGGCCCTGGTTTGAGTCCTGGCCGCTCCACCTCCAATCCAGCTCCCTGCCAATGTGCCTGGGAAAAGCAGTGGAAGATGGCCCAAGTCCTTGGGCCTCTGCACCCACATGGGAGATCTGGATGAAACTCCTGGCTCCTGGCTCCTAGCTTCAGCCAGTTGCAGCCATCTAGGGAGTAAACCAGTGAATAGGTCTCCTTCCACCCCATCTGTAACTCTGACTTTCAAATAAATCCTAAAAAAAAAAAAAAAAGTGAAGCAGCCGGGACTCGAACTGGCACCCATATGTGATGCCTGTGTAGTAGCCAATGGCTTTACCTGCTAGGCCACACACAAGCCCCTCTGTTGGTTTTTTATGACAGGCCCAGGCCAGTGCTGGCCAGGACGAGAGGACAATGAGGACCCCATGAGGGATGGTGTGGGCTGCCCGGGTGGCAGTGTGTGAGTGGGTGTGTGGGTGTGTGTTCCAGGTGGCATCATGGCAGGGCTCATCTCGGACTATACCAACGGCAGGGCCACCACTTGCTGCGTCATGCTGATCCTGGCTGCCCCCATGGTGCGTATACCCTCTAGGGTGAAGAGCGTGTGCCTGTGAGCCTCCATGGGTGCATCCTGGATCTACACACATGGCTGTCTCGCATATGCACGTGTGTGCATCCCTGCGCACGCGTTAGGGGCGGAGAAGCAAGGGTCAGCAGAGGAACAGGCACCCTGGAAAGGGAATTTTGGGAAGGGATTAATGATGATTTGGCTGTGGTGGAAAAGGAGAATAGTTGCTCACTTTGGCCAAGGAAATGAGAAGAGGTCAAGGTCACAAGACATGAGAGAAGACTTTGGGGGGAAACAGAAAGCAGTAGACCCTGTTTTAGACCCTTCGTCCCCGGGACACCTGTAAGATCTGAGAAGTGTGGAGGTGAGAGGGAGAAGGAATAAGCTGACGTGTGGGGTTCCAGGGCAGGAGAGGGTTGTCCCACACTTCCGGGCTCCAGCCCAGTGAGGGGAGCCTGGGAGTGACTCCGCCCTCCCCTTGTCCTCTCTCAGATGTTCCTGTACAACTACATTGGCCAGAACGGGGTCATCAGTTCCATAGGTGAGGAGGTGGTTCCACGTCCTGCCAGGCCCCGGGAGAGGCACTGTCTTGGAGGCCCAGGAAGATGGCTCGGGGGTTCAGGGGGAGGGCTGGGGGCCGTCTAACCGCACTGTCCCTGCTACTGTCGCAGTGATGCTGATCATCTGCGGGGCCCTGGTCAACGGCCCTTACTCACTCATCACCACCGCTGTCTCCGCTGACCTGGTGAGTGGGGTCACTTCCTGGGGGCTTGGTCAGGGCTTTTGTCCCCAGGTCCCTTTCTGACACACCCTGCAGAGGCAAGACCCTCAAACGCCTTCAGAGCCCACCACGGCCCCTCTCTCCTCCCCGTCACTACCCTCTGTGAGTCAGTCCCTCTACCAATCCTGGTCCTTCCCATGGTGCCGCTCAGCTCAGGCATCCCCACTCTGCCCTCTCCCCCTGCCCCAGGGCACTCACCAGAGCCTGAAGGGCAACGCCAAGGCCCTCTCCACCGTCACGGCCATCATCGACGGCACCGGCTCCGTAGGTGTGTAACCCTCGTTTTCGGCTCCTGGCAGCTGAGCCCTGAGCTGTGCTGTGGGCAGACCCCTTGGCGCACTGCTGTCACTTGGGCGGGCAGGTGCGGATCCCCTTCTCACGTGGTGTGCTCTGAGCAGGTGCGGCTCTGGGACCTCTGCTGGCCGGGCTCATATCCCCCACGGGCTGGAACAATGTCTTCTACATGCTCATCTCTGCCGATGTGCTGGCCTGTTTGGTAAGAGTTCATGGCGGGGGGCTCTGTCCCGCCAGGCTGGAGCCCTGGAGGCCCAAGCATTGGCCACTGGGTCTCTGGGATGATGCAGACAGCTGAGCTGTGCCCAAAGCTCTTACCTCCTGGGTGCCCTTGCAAAAGAAGCCGCATGCCTGCCGCCTTTCCTTCCAGCACTGCACCTGACACAGGACACTCATGGGTCCTCATGCTAATGGTGCCCTGCCTACCCTCTGTGCCTTGTTCTCCCCGCAGCTCCTCTGCCGGTTGGTGTACAAAGAGATCCTGGCTTGGAAGGCATCCCTGAGCAGAGGCAGAGGGTGAGTCCCCCAGGGAGCCGCAGGCCCCTCTCCCAGCCTTATTCCTTATGGGAAGCCACTCAATGCTCAATTTCTCTAAACCCAGGCTGAGCCCAGTCCCGCCCAGACCTTGGGAACGCTGGGCCAGCCCCAGGACGTCCTGTGTGAAGCACCCCCACCCGGCCTGCTAACCTGTCCTCTGTTGTCCCCGTGTGTCTCCCTAGCTCTAGTTTGGCCCTAACCTGCCCGCGATAGTATTTTCCTCAAGTCCCATGACTTTTGTGAGTATTTGCTGCGAGTCTGTGGCTAATGCGCCACGAGGACGTGGGCTGCATGCAAATCGTGTCTCCTCAGCGTGATTTCCGCACCTTTCCTTTCTCCTCGGGAGCCAGGCGCAAAGATTCTGGGCCCCGAGGAGAGCCCAGTGCTTGGGAAGCGTCTCCCCAGGGGTCTGAGACGCCACGGGGGCTGGTAGTCTCTCCTCTGAGGGAAGGTGTTAGGGTTTTACGTGTGTCCCCCGGACAGAGGAGGCAGAGATGGTGCGGCCAGTTCCTCTCTGAACTCAGACGGAGCTGCAAGTGCCACCTGCAGTTCAGAAACCAAGGTCATCTGGCCGCTCTGTCCAGGGTGTGCAGCAAAGCCAATCAAGGCCTGTGAAACAAAATTCAAATCAAGTGTTGGGGGCTGTCCTGGTGCGCTCTCTGCCTGGTGGCCAGTGGTGGCGGGCATATGCATAGACCAGCGGCTGAGGCAGGGGCTGCCCGCTGGTGCTGGTGGCTGGGCGCCCCTCTCCCCGTGCCCTTTCAGGCTCTCCTTCTGAGAGCTCTTAGCTCTTGCTAAGGAACTGTCTGCACTTGGGTTGGATGGGAGAACCTGCTGGGGCCATGGTGACCAGCACAGTGTCTGGACAAGTGCTTCCCTTAAAGAATCCTCATCCAGAGGGAAAAACGGAAAACAGGAAGAATCAGGGGGAAGCAGGAAGTGGTCCCAGAGGGCCCATCCTGCCAGGCCCTGCCCTGGTCCTGCTCGGGGACGCAGGGATTGGCAAGCGTGACCGAGTGCTCCTCCACCTGTTCTCTGGGGCGGCCCTCAGGGCAGAGCGGCAGAGGAAGGAAGCAGCGGAAAGGGAGGAGCCTGGGATTGGGTGCAGTCTCCGATGCACGTTTGCACATCTCTCAGCCACCTTGGGAGGACGCTGTTCTCACTTGGAGGTCAGAGAACAGAGTGGCAGAGCCCATGAGATAAGCGTCAGCCTTCCGTGTGGCCTGACATTGGACTCACCTCTGTGGGTCGTTTGCCTTTCTCTGCACTGCTGCTGCCCCAAGCTGGCCCTTCTTGGAGGCAGGCTGGTGAGGGAGTGTGTGGAGTGCTGGGCCTGGAATCCAAAACCCCTGGGCAATCCTGGCTTCTTTGTTCACTCAGCGCTAGAAACGCGGGCATGCCCTTCCGCCCAGGCTCCCATTCCCTGAACCTCTGTGTCCATAGATTTTTTTTTTTAATACTTATTTATTTATTTGAAAGGCAGAGTTACTAAGAGGCAGAGGCAGGGAGAGAGAAAAAGGTCTTCCATCCACTGGTTCACTCCCCAGATGGCCGCAACGGCTGGAGTTGTGCTAATCTGAGAACAGGAGCCAGGAGCTTCTTCCTAGTCTCCCACACGGGTGCAGAGGCCCAAGCACATAGCGGAGAGCTGGATCGGAAGTGGAGCAGCAGGACTCAAACTGGCTCCCATATGGGATGCCAGCACTTCAGGCAGCGGTTTTACCCGCTACGCCACAGCGTCGGTCCCTGTGGCCATAGACATTGATGCAAGTGTGCTTATCAGATGTGTGCTTATCAGCAGGGCTGATCTGATGCTGTGATGAGATGGGATATGAGATGGTGCTTTGTAAAGCTGTCAAATGTGGCTGTACACCACACAGTGTTTCACATACCTTTTAAACTTGTCACTTGTGTGTGTGTGTGTGCATATTCCTGCCTTGCTATTCCCTGCCCGAGAGGTGAGAGGGGGCCCTAATTATAGGGCGCAGAGATGAAAGGCAGTTATTAAGGGGCCCTGAAAGCCTGCCTCCTCTCTCCCCAATTAAGGGTCTCACTTTCTCTTCCATCACCTCTCTCCTCTCCATTCAGGTATAAAGAAATATGAGGCCCCGATTGGAGGAGAAGCATGGAGGGTCCCAGCAGGGTCCCCAAAGTGAAAGACACTGGAAACGTCCATGGTTGGGTTTGGCAAAACCTCTTCCTCCAACATCAGCCCACTCAGCTCAGCTTAGCCCAACGCAGCTGAACTCAGCTCACAGGGCTGCTAAGAGAATGGGAGATTCTGCACGGGACGGGGACTGCCAAGCATGAGGAAATGGGAGATTCAAGGGCCTGAGCTTGCGCACTGTGATGGAAGTACCACTGCGGTTCTGCCAGGACTGGGACGAGGGTGAGGCAAAGAGCGACCTCGGGCACAGAACTCAGAGGAGCACTCGCTCTCAGGCCTGTGCACCTGCCAACCCTTGCCTTACGCTGGTCCTAGCCCGGCTGTCACAGTGCAAGATGACATCTGGGTCAGCGTGGTTGTGAGGCCAGGATGAAGGGGCAGGACTGAAAATACCAGTGTGTGCAGTAAGAACTTTGAGAATGAATGCTGATTGTTACTGAGTGCCCACTGCATGCCAGCTCTTCTCTGGGGCTGGAGCCGACGGTGGGCACAGGCAAAGGACTTTGCCCTCAGCACAGGCACTATGGTGACCTAAACAAGCAGGTCATGAGTGAGCCAGCAGGTGCATTCCTGTGGCTGCTCTGTATGCAGATCATTGCATGGGCCACCCGTAGCCCCTTCTCTACCCTGTGTTCCTACCTTCCACCCCTGTCTTGGGAGTCCTGCGTTGCTACAGGTGGCGCTGGCTCTTGGCATTGCCACCTGACCTCTACAGCTGCCCATCAGCGCCAATACAGATTTCTTTTGCCAGTGGTGCCTTGCTCATCCTTGGTAGGGCGTGGCAGGGCAACAAATGGAGTCCCCAGACCACAAGCTCGTGCTGGGGCTGGTGACAACTGGCATTCCCAGAGCATGTGAGGCTTGATGGTGTAGGAGCCTGGAGTCCCATATAAGATAACAACCGCTGCCTTTACTGCGACACCTTGTGGGCTGGTGTTTCAGCTGGAACTGAAACTGGAACCGCAACACTAAAATAGGTCGTGTACACCCCAGTGATAACAAGTTGGTATATCTTGTCCTGCCAGATGCTCACTGGGGCTCTGAAAGCAGGAGTCTTCGGAGCCTACCAGGGCAGGAGCTGCAGCCTACGCCGCACTCAACACTGAAGACCTTGTCTGTGTTACTCACGCGAGCCACTAGGTGGTGACACGATCCTGCTAGAGGCCGCGTGGGGCTGTGTCCTGCCTCCGGGAAGGGAGCCGGGAGCAGAGTTTTCTTGGCTTGTCCTCAACCTTCCTTTTGCTGCAGACAGATCAGGGTGGAGTGGGCGGCTCTGTGGAGGTCTGTTTCCTCGTCCCGAAAATGACCTACCTCGTAGGACTGGTGCTAAGGGAGACAAGCATTAACTACACTCCCTGACTGTGAGGAATTTGTCTAGTTAGGGGATAAGATAAGAATACCAAAGCACTTATAAACAATATGCAGAAAACACGCAGAGAGAGTGAGTCATCTGACAGCTATGCCACTCATTAGCCCAGCCCTGGAAGGGGGCAGGGCTGCAGGGCCAATGATCCTCGTGGCAATGGGAGGAAAGAAACTGTAGGACTTGGATGATCCCTTAGATAAGGGAGTGGGAGAGGGAGGAAGTTAGCATGAATACCAAGCCCCAAGTGTGGGCACTTGCGATGTGCAGAAGGCATTGTGGGAGCTCAGAGCCTGGCCTCAGAAATGAGGACTTGGGCTGTAGGTGAGGGTTTGGGGAAAATGGCAGAGGAGGGGAAGGGGTTGTGGGCGGGGGTTGGGGGGCCACCAAGCTCTGAGGTCTGCCCTTGGGCACTTAGCTTGCAGTCCTAGGCCACCTGCTCACTCAGCACTGGGCACTGACTATGCACCAGAGCCTGGTACCTGCCTCCTCTCTGGGTCCCAGCATTCACACGGGGCTAATACAGGAGCATTACTTTAATTAGTTATTCATTTAATTTAACTTCACATTTGGTCTCAATTAAGCTTAAAATGTTCTTCCTTATAGATGCCACAATAGCACTTGTAATTAAAAAGCAATAACTCTTTGCGTTTCTCCTTTAGAGATCCACCGGGAAGCTGGGCTTGTGTGTGTGTGTGTGTGTGTGGTAGAAGGGCTGGGGGAGGAGGAGGAGGCGGCAAGAAGCCATGAAAAGGAGGAGAAGGACTTCTGCACTATCAAGCCACCCTTAAGACCGAAGTTGTGGGGAGGAACTCTTAGCACGTCAGAAAACCTGAGAAGTGGACACAGGGGCAGACCTTGCACATAAAGGAGTGGGGTAGGAGGGGTGTGAGAGGGAGGGTAGGAAGATAGGCCACATACTCTGTGGTAAGCAGAGCACCCCTACCCCCAAGTCGTCCACAGCTCAGTTCCCAGAACGTGTGGAAATGCTACCGAACATACAGATGGGGCTCTGGGGATGTGAGTCAGGATCCTGCAGTGGGGAGACCGCCCCAGCTCATGGGGGGAGGGGGCAATGTAGTCACGAGACTCCTTAGAAAGCACACAGCCAGGCAGGAGGATCCGGGACTGGAAGATGCTATGCAGCTGGCTTTGAAGACAGAGGGAGAGCCCCAGCCAGGGAAGGAGGGCAGCCTCTAGACACTGGAAAGGGCAAGGAGATGGGCTCTCCCCTGGGCCTCCAAAGCTGTTCTTTTAGCCCCTGGAAACTCAGTTTCCATTTTCTGACCTCCAGAACTGCAAGACAGTTGAATCTGTGTTGTTCTAAACTGCTGAGTTTGTGGTGACTTGTTACGGCAGCAACAGGAAACCAATGCATGCAGTCCCAGTGTAAAACTGGATCATAATCAAAGGCAGGAAAGCACACACACAGGGGAACGGGAGACACTGTCAGGACTTACAGACAAGTGCAGGGGATGCCACGTGGCTTTCAGGTACAGCACGAGTGCTCTGTGTGTCACTAGGCCTCGGCTCCCTGAGGGCAGGACCTGGGCTAAACGTAAATCCTCTGCCAGCAGCACCTAATGGGATGCAACCATAAACATGAACTTTCTCATTTTGCCTGTGATTTGGGGCCCTGGTTTGGATCCTGGCTGTCATTCCTTGGGACTCAGGAAACAGAAAAGAGGGTGTGTGTTTGGGGGGGTGTGTGGGGACGGGGGACCTTTTCTTTTTCAGTGAATAAACAGTAACCACCAATAATCTGCTAGAAACAGAGATCAAGAAATAAACAAATATGCTTAGCTTGGTGTGTGTGTGTGTGTTTTCCATTTTTACTCACATATTTTTATCTATTTGAAAGAAAGAGCTCTCTTCTGCTGGTTCACTCCATAAATGTCCACAACAGCAGGAATTCAACCCAGGTCTGGCCAGACATAGACCAGGAGGCAGGAACTCAATACAGGTCTCCCAAATGGGTGGCAGGGACCCAACTATGTGAGCCATCATTGCTACCTTCCAGGGTGTGCACTGGCAAGAAGCTGGGACTTAACCTCGGGCACTCCAACATGGGCTGTGGGCATCTCACCCCCCAGGTCAAATGCCTGCCCCTGGCTTGTGGCTTTTATTCTTCCACTGGCTCTTCTATAAACCAATCCAAGTGTCCACATCCCAGGTGGGTGGTGCATAAAAGATGGCTGGGTATGTCTTTCCTGAAAATTCCACCTACTGCTGCCCAACTTTTTAGTATCTACACAAGTTGCTAGGACTCGGGCTTTTTCGTAATTTCTGTGAAATAGATTTACGTTGCCTAACCCTGGTCCCTTCTTTTCCTGTTTTCATTTTATGCAGCAACATAGTACAAGGGTACATAAAAGGTTCACAGAAAAGTAGAATCAAAAGATAAATTTATTTTGGTGCAAATTGCTTGAAATCCAGCTTTATCATAATATGCTTTTCTATGAACTTTTTGAAGACCCTTCGTGTAATATAAGGGAGTTAAGAACTTAAGATACTGGAACCAAACTGCTTTTTATCTCCCCCTCGGCGAGTGGCCTGAGTCACCTACCTTCCCAGTCTGCGGTTGCTTCCCTCTGTGAAATGGGGGTCGCAGGAGTACTGTCTCCACAGGACTGACAGGAAGATGACCTGAGTGAATACTCAGAGTGTACTTAGGAAAAAAATGCCTGGCATATGTTTGCTAACTGTAATAAAAATTGTGTTCTCAGCATGTGAAGAGTAGACTTATTTCCAAGTATTGGGATGGAAATAGAGATTAAAGGTTGAACTCTGTGAACTATAAAGTCTCTTCCAATCCTGAGTCTTTATGCTCCTAGAAGGATAATCAACACTTTTTCCAGATCCGTTTCCATACGGTTCTGATTCCCACATCTGGAAATTTGTTTCTAAGTAACAACAGCCAAATGCTTAAAGGTTTAAGCCAAGGAGTTATGATAAAATATTTGGTTTTTGTATTATAAATGCTAATTAGAATTCTTTTAAAGAAAATTTGACCTTTTTGGACAGGAGTTAGGGAGATGGTGGGTATAAATCGCTAAGAAACAATATTAACCGGGGTAAGGACAAGGAGTTATTCAAAAGCCAAAAAAATCCCTAAACTAGCTGAGAAAAGAGGGGTCAGGAACCCTAATGTCGAGTTTGAGCACCACTACTGAATGGCTGTGACCCTTCCAATCCCCTCTCCTTTCCGCCTGTTTCTCTTCTGTAAAATAAAGACAGCAGATTTCTTGACACATTGCAGAACAGCAACTAAAGGAGAAATGCAGCACTAATGAAACGGGGTCGATAGGAAAGTTTATGTCTCACACGGAGCAGAACGAGGAATGGCTTACTTTCTGTTAGAACCAACACGTTTAAAAATACTTTGGGTGCCTTCACCCTGGGATGGAGTTAGATGAAAGCCTGCACACCTCATCCTGGTTCTTCGATTAGCCTATTCCCCAGGACCAGTGCTTCATGCCTGACTTGCACAAGACACGTGCTGAGTGAGGAGCAACGTGTGCTGTGTGCACGCATGGGTTAAAGACTTCCCTGGTGCCTGGACATTGGTACTGTAACTCTGAGGCAGTTTTAGACTAAACATCTGATACGGTGCTTCATCAGTAAAGAATGTCCGCTTTACTTCTGTTTTTATAAATGAAAAGTTTAAAGAGCTTATAAAAAAATCACCCTTTCAGTATGTTTGTCTGGCTTAACTTCTAAAACATAACATACAGCGCCACCTAACGGACTGGACAAACAGCTCCATTGCAGGGTGGTGTGATGTCTTGCCAATTTAGCTGTCGTCAGATACAGTTTTAAGATCCTGTGAAATAACAGGTTTTCTTACATAGGAGCCCAGATTGACTTCCCTCCCCACCTTCTGGGCAGTGGGGATCACCGCTGTCTGCCAAGCAGTTCTGTCTGGGGAGGTGGGAGCGCAGCACAGCCTGCTCTAAGACCACTGCTCAGATGGCTAATGGCGCACAAAGGTGCTATCTGCTTGTATTTAAGGGTTGACCTCTGAGCCCCGTCTCCAAGAAGACCCCGTGCAGATGGGATGGCATGTCAGCCACCAATTACGGGTCTCCGCGACTTCCACTGTGTGCTCTCTCAGCTTTCCACTTAGCCCAACTGCATGGTTTGGGGCGGGGAGGGGATTTTGAACACAACTACTTTGAGCTCATAGGTAAAAAGTAATCTCTCATTCATTTCAGTTGAAATATAGACTTGGGATCTATACAAAGTAGGCACAATGTATTTTTACCTAAAAGCAGCCCATAACACATAAGCCTGCCATGTACATGAGGTACCAACAACAGAAAAAGAAAAAAGAAAAGAAGCTGCATTAGACAGCAGTAGTGTTTGGGAGGGAAATTGATTTCTAACTTCAACACATTTTTCTCCATGTAAATAGTCACCCCAAACCTCCAAGCTATTGCCCATTGATCTAAAAGTTGGACACCTTTTTGGAAGAATAAAAAAGATGAATTCATGGTCAGGAACCTCTAATAGTTTTTCCAGAGTTGCTTTTTCAGCAAGTCTCTGAGGAGAGGGTGACAAATGGCAGCCTGTGCTTGTTAGAGTCGCTGTTCCTCTCCGGCTGGCTCAGCGTGATGACCCAGAGACAACACAGGCACCTGCACGGTTCGGAGGTGTGTCCCGTGCCTGAACCCCCATCTGGTCCTACTTGCCTCAAATTCCAGCATTTTCCTTTCTCTCCCCCCATCTGTTTGAAGGGACGTTTCTTACCTTACCTGTGGGCATAGGCCAGATTAAGAAATGACTTCCTTTGAAGGCTTCTGCATAAAGCCTTGTCTGCAAAGTTTTCCCAAACCAAATGAGACAAAGGAGACAGCTGAAGTGTGGGAGTAAAGACGGCTGGTGCAGCCCATGACTCTCAATGGTCACCATTTCTCTTCCAGTCTGGAGCTTAGTCTGCTTGGGGGTGGCAGGACTGGGTTCCTTCTCTACCCTGATTGTAGGATTCAGGAGAGAAAGCAACGGAAGTGGCCCTGAGCTTCCTCAAGCTCTCAAAGTTCAGAGCTGAGTGACCTTTTTTTTTTCCAGTCTGAGACAGGCCCTGGAGCCTCCAGACCTGGGTTTGCACACTAGATGTTATGTGATGCTTGAGCGAATTTATCTCTTTAAGCCTCAGTTTTTTACTATTTTAAAGTGAGGATAACAGTCATTAAAATTAAATTAATTAAACTTCAAAAGAATTAGTAAATTACTAGCAGAGAGCATGTATTCAATCTTTCCAATTTATTTTCTAGGCTCTTAATTTTAAGACAGAAGACCCTTCTTCCAACAGCTCTAGAGTTAGGGTGAGTCTTACAAGGGGGAACCCGACCAGAGCCTCTCAATTTAATGACAAGCTTCACTTGACCCATGAGATCACACAGGTACAAAGTTATGTCTAATGCTGAGAATACACATTTCTTACTAGGTTTGGGTAAAGGACTACAGAGATGAAAAGAAAGGACAATTATTCCAAATGGACTTTTTTAAAATTTTATTTAAGGTATACAAATTTAATGTATTTCCTATATACAGATTCAGAAACATGGTGATACTTCCCACCGTATTCTCCCTCCAGACCACACTCCCACCCTTCTTCCTCCTCCCTCTCCTATTCCCATTCTTATTTTTTACAAAGATATATTTTCCCCAAATGGACTCATGGAAATTAAATAAGACACACAGGGGCCACAAAATCCTGGGAGAAAAGGAACCCAGAGATACATGGCAGAATGACAAAAATACATTTCAATACCTTTCCTCTAATCTGCAAGCAAATTTAGGAAATAAAAATACTGGAATCAGAAAGCTATAGCCAAGAGTTGGAATTGAAAGCCCTTTGGTTGCTGCTTATTGCTCTATTAGAGCCGGGGGAAGTGACACCGTGGCCTTTGTAGCTCTGTTGAACTAACTGCGGAGTTAGTTGTCAGTAGCCAACATCTGAATCAGTCTTCCAAATTACTGCTTTATTGCAACACAGTAGGTTAGTGTAACCTTTGAAATGTGAGTGCCTTTCCCTTCCAAATGATTTCAACCTAAGAATTTTACATATTATCAAAAAGGACAGGGTTCCTGGGTTGGACCAAAAGTCCAAGTGCTCCTTTTCCCAAAACCCACTTACTAATGACTGAAAATCTACTCCCAGCAGATTGCTATTACTACTTCCCTTGCAAAACAGATGGAAATCCTGAGGTACAGATACTAAGAAGGCAGCAATCTCCCTCCACAGGTAGTAGGAATCTACTGCCACAGGAACAATCTTGCAACCCTGAATGCAAAACCTGGAACTCCGGAGGTTAGTCTTAGCGATGAGGAGATGGCCCTCTAACTTCTCATGGCATGAAGACTGTCAAAACAAGGCTCTGAATAGTGTTTCTTTGCTCATCAGTGACACCAAAACGAAAGAGACCAGAGTCCTGGTTTTTCCAAATAATGCTCAGTATGACCGCAGTGGTTTGGCATAGATTGGCTCCAGGACGTGATGAGTTAGAACCAAGAAGAGGCTTCCAAGGAAGACAGCGCTGATGAACGCCAGCAGGACATAGCGGCCTATGAAAAAGGCATCCACAATCTGGGGAAGGCAAACATGAATGTGAAACTCCTACCACTGCAGCCCCTGGCTGTGTTCATCTGAATTCTATGATCAGTGGACCAAGAATTAGCTCATGTTTGTGACTTCCGGTAACATCCTGCCTGAATCTCCTCTGTGTATGGATGAGAAAGAGTCTTTTTTTCAACTCTCTGAGGAGGAGATACTGGGTAAAGAAGGGATTAATGGCACATATGGCTCAATTTAGGAGGTTCACAAACACTTTGAAATCCCTGGATGAGTGCATCTATGTTCTGAAACCAGAGTTAATGACAAGCTTGCCTGTTTCTAGAAAGACTCATTTTTGCTGTTGATTAAACACTTTTTATTATAGGGAACTTTAGACATACATAAAAATCTAATAGTATAATAACTCCCCATGTACCTAAGACGTAACCCTAAAAATCGTAACCCATTATCTCATGGGGAAAAGTTCTAAACCCTAACATTCATTACCCACCATGCCAAGGGATAGGGAAATGGCCATTTATCTGAGATCCCAAAGCACTGGGAAAGGTAACTCGCCTCAAATCACACAGTTGCCTGCCCAGCAACTAGTCACATCTGAGGCCCAAAAGATGTTGGTATCTGCAGACAACAACCTAAAACTGGTGTTGGTTCCATCCACTTGTTTACTGTCCCCCACCAGACACTTCCACTCTCCCCAGATCCAAGTGGTGGTGCCTAAAATGGAGCAGGACAAAACCACTTGATCTATAGATCTAATGGAACAGCAACACAAGTCAAGTGACTGAGTGATTTCTCAGAACCTTTAAAAAGCCATTACCTAGAAAAGAATCCAAAACTCCTGGAGAGTGAGTGTGGTAGACAAAACAATGGTCCAAAGATACGCACATCCTAATCCCCAGAAATTGTGACTATGTTAGATTATACAACAAAGAGGGAATTAAGGTTGTAGACAGAATTAAGGTTGCTAACCAGCTGATATAAAAATAGGGAGATTGGTCTGGATTTTTCAATCCAGATGAGCTATAATCACAAGGGTCCTTAAAATCTCTGCTTCTCAAATAAACAAATTAATCCATTTTAAAACAAGTTGAACAGGGAGGCAGGAGAGGGTGATGGTAAGAATATGAGAGATGAAAGCAGGCCAGAAACATGTTATGCTGCACCTTGCAGATGCGGAAGGGGCTGTGAGTGAAGGGCCAGGAGCAGCATTCAGGATCTAGAAAAGGTAAGGACACGGATTCTCCCCTGGAGCCTCCAGAAACAAATGCAGCCCTGCCCACCCCTTGAGGTTGGCCCACTGGGACTGAATTTGGACTTCTAATCTGCAGAACTACAACACATTTGCATTGTGAGCCACTGAGGTCACAGTAACTTGTTACAGCAGCCACAGAAAACTAATACAATAAAGCTACACAGAACACCTGTCATCCAAGCACTGCTATGATCATTGAGAACCAAAGACACCCCAGCTGCTCCAGAGGTTACCCCAACAGTCAACTTACAACAAAGGTCAGTTTGATTAAACAGCTTTAACATAACTTTGACCTTGGCTCCAGTACTGAAGAAGTCTCTCGTGGGCTACATGTTTGCTCAGTTGACACGTTTCACTTTTTAATTAGCCAATTAGCAGGCCCTGGGTGCAGAAGGCCCAGGCCATGTATTATTGATACAGTATTGAGCCAGGTTGCTGCAGGGGCCAACTCTCAAAGCCTGAAAATGAGAACTCCAATTCTGCTGGCCAAGCTGATGAACATATTTTGTTCAAACCCAGTTCTCCTCTCTTGGGTCTGAAACTCATATGACAGAGAGGAGACGGATTGATTTCAAAACAGTGTTTGCTCTGTGCCCTTCTTCTAAAATTCACATCTGCACCAATCCAGATATATGGCTGCCTTCACCACTCTCCCAGCTCAGAAAGACAAGGAAATTGTGATGGGAATTTACCCTGAGCTCATACACACGTGGTACTCAGACCTACAAAGTGGTTTCCAAATGCTGACAAAAAAAGCTGGCATCTATGGAAATACTTCTTTGAATCTTGTAGGATTATATCCCCTGCAATTTTCAGAACCAGTTTCTTTCCTTTTGCCAGGGTTAGTCTAGATATGAAGTTGGAAGTGTGGGTCAACTTTGGTTCAAAAGTTACATAATTTTGTGTGCTGTTGTCTAGAGTCAAAATGGTAACCTGTGACCTGTCTGGGATAGCCCCTGTCACTGTGTTGAGTATCCAAGAATGAAGATTTTGAAGACAGATCTGTGCTTGAATCCTTAAGTCTGCATTCACGTATATATGAATGACCTTGGTCAAGTTGTCTCACCTCATATAGCCTCAGTGTCCTTGCCGGTATGATGGGGTAAGAGTGCCTACTTCATACTACCTAGGGTTGTCCTGAGGTTTAAATGGGAACATGCAAACAACATGCTTAGCAGTGGACCTGGCACACAGTAAGCCTTTAAAAAAATGTTATCATCATCATTACTACTTACAGGATCAAAATGCAGGCTGAGAGGAAAGAAGCTATGAGGAGGAGTAATGGGACAGAAGTCAATACTACTATCAAGATCCTATGAGTTTGAGACCCGCAATGTCTGGAAAAGCCAGAGCCCCACAGCAGGAATCAGCCAGATCGGCGGGTGTCCAGGAAAGCACTACGTGAGGTGATAGAGCTCCACTTGCAGAAGTGAGTGCTGGCAGATGTGGTCACAGGAGTGAGGGATCCAGAAGGCTGTGAATACTGAATTCACCTCTAACTTCTGCTATCCAGAGAAATGGTCCTCTTTCCTCACTGCTCTTCTCAGTGCAAATTATACTCCCTGCATCTCGAGTAGGAAAACCCCACCACATGGAGAAGGAAAAACATGTCCCTCGGCACCCTGAAGGCATGGCACAAACGTTGCCCGAACACCTGAGGTTCGGAGCCAAGGCCACCAGAAATGGGAACATGGCCCCTTCAGGAGCGGCCCTATTCGGATTCCTAACTCATTTTCTCTCTCCCCACAGTGTAAGGTGGCTTTCAAACATCGTTGTCATACTTGATGCAAACTGGACATGAGATCCAATCAGGCAAACAGCAACCTTCAGAAGATTCTCTTCTTGGCCGAAGGGGCAGGGGAACTAACACGCTCTCTGAGCTTTTGCTATTACTATTTGGACCTTCCAGTTCCTCTGCCAGGTCTCAGGCAATGTGACGTCAGGGAACATTATAGGACAGCACTCAGACAGGGTGGGGGTGGAGACAGGAAAACAAGTTACAGCTCAGGAGGCAAAATGAAACCCAACGCTTTACCTCGATTTCCGCCTCTGGGGCTGGGAATTCACTGGCTCGGGGGAAAAGCACCAGGACTGATGTGATGATCAGAGCACCGAGGAATACAAAAATGACAGAGAACCTGGGATCAGAAAGACAGGGTATTAAAAGCTCTGTTAGAGTTTCTTCTCTAACGGGCCAGGTTCTGGGCTGGCCATTCCCTGGATCAATATTCTATGTTCCGGTCCCTTAACAATGTCCAGCGGACTGCTGTCCATACCTCCTTTCATTCCAAAGCCTTTCTTCCTAGATGGCCACCAGCTGGGCACATTCCCAATAATTCCAAATCCTTATGAATGAGAATTCATAGTTCTTACTTTTGTTGCTGTCCAAAATCATAATCAAGAAAAACCAAAGTAGCCCCTTCTTGCCCTCTCCTTCTCCTATTTTTGGGCCAGGTGCCTTAGTCAATTCTGTAACGTTCTGCTACACACAGACACTGTCACCACAGTAACAGTTCTAGAGTGTTTTCAGGGTCTGTGTGTGGCCTGAACTATATTTTGACGTCACCACCTGGTACACAGTCAGCCTAGCTCACTGAATGCTTCTTTGCTTTCCCCAGGCCCATGCCTAGAGCCTCAGGGACTGGACGAAGCACCTCCCGTAAACCTGAACCATTAGGAAACACACACATGTGCAATCCTGAGAAACCCAACAGATAGGAGGGCAGATTTTCTTGTCATCTCTTGCGCCCCACCCCCCATGTCTTCCACAGTGAGAACTGGAAGATCCCACTTCCCTCTCTTCCCACCTCTGCCTCAGAGCATAAATAACACAGTTAGTGCTTATGATAAGAGGTTAAAATGCAACTCATTCAGACTGCCAGTAATTACAAAAATGATCTTCTGAATTCTAAATGTTTAATGAACGTCAGCAATTTTGCCTCTAATTGCTTTTACCTAGGACTCCCAGTTGAAAAGAATGCCTTACCTAGCGACTCCTGAGGCTCTGGATAACAGCACACACAGCAGCAGCACCAACACCCAGAGCAGGGCTAAGATGAACACGCCTGCACCCACTCCCAGCACGGTGCCGGCCATGCCAGGGAGGAGGGTGGCCTGGACCACTGCCCCGCGTGCACCACGATGAGGTGTCCTCTGCTCCAGCTGCCACCTTCCTGCCACACGCTCCCAATGTTCATGAAGGCGTTCAGAAAAATACAGAAAGCTCACATTCATTCAGGGGTATTTTTGGTGATGGGTATGTTGGGAGTATTACTTAATACAGGTCTTTTCTTTTTTTAAATATTTATTTTTAAAATATTTATTTATTTATCCAAGAGTCAGAGTTAGAAAGAAAGCGAGAGAGAGAGAGAGAGAGAGAGAGAGTAAGTGAGTTAGAGAAAGGAAAGAGAGATCTTCCACCTGCCAGTTCATTCCCTAGATGGCCACAACAGCTGGGGTTGGGCCAGGCTGAAGTCAGGAGCCAGGAGTTTCCTCCAGGTCTCCCACATGGGTCATCCTCCGCTGCTTTTCCCATGCCATCAGCAGGGAGCTGGAGCTGAAGCGGAGCAGCTGGGACTCAGTGTGATGCCCATACGGGATGTCCGTGTCACAGCTTGACACACTGTGCCACAACACTGGCCCCGCAATACAGGTCTTTTAATTTTCAGAAATGTCTAGTCCAGGTGTCCCTTAATGGGAACTAGAAATTTAATTTATGTATTTGTTACTGAAAGGCAGAGAGAGAGCTCCCATTTGCTAGTTCACTCCAGTGCCTGCAACAATTAGGCTAGACCAGGCCAAAGCTAGGAGCCTAGAACTCAATCCAGGTCTCCCACATGAGTAGCAGGGACCCAAGCACTTGAGCCATCACCTGCTGCTTTCCAGGGTGTGTACCTTAGTAAAAAGCTGGAATCCGGATAGGTGCCAGGACTTGAACCTAGGCAGTCAGATGTGGGATGTGGGCATCCCAAGCAGTGCCTAATCTCTATGATATATGTTTTGGACATGCAGTGTTAGACAGTGAGAGAGAGAGAGAAAGGTCTATCTTCCATTGGTTCACCCCCTAAATGGCCACTACGGCCGGCTTACTGTGCCGATCCGAAGCCAGGAGCCAGGTGCTTCCTCCTGGTCTCCCATGCGGGTGCAGGGCCCAAGCACTTGGGCCATCCTCCACTGCACTCCCAGGCCACAGCAGAGAGCTGGACTGGAAGAGGAGCAACAGGGACAGAAGTGGCGCCCCAACCAGGACTAGAACCCGGAGTTCTGGTGCCACAGGCGGAGGATTAGCCTAGTGAGCCACAGTGCCGGCCACCAAGCAGTGTCTTAACTGCTACACAAACATCCATCCCAGGGATTTCTAATTTCCAATTTGGTCCCTGAGTTCCAGCCTTACTTCTTCTACTGGCCCACATCAGAAAGCTCAGGTCACCCTTGATCCCAAACCCTGAGGGCTGCTGGGAGGTGCCAGGGCCCACGAACTCCAGCGTCATAGCAGAAGTCAATGTCGCCAGTTAAATCTGTTATTAGCTTTGACTCACCAGGCGATCATGAGACAGCGATTTCCCACTCCATTGTTGAGTTCTTATTCACAAAAGGAAGAAAATTCCCAGTCCTTCAAGAAGACAAAGAACAGCCGTCACTGCTTTTCGACATCTACTGTGTGCTAAGTGCTTCCTCACACAGCCCACTTAATCACGGCAGTGAGGTACTCCTCGGCATTATTAGACCCTGGCTGCAGAAGAGGTGAGTGAGGTCTAACTGTGGAGCTACAGGCGTTAGTTTGCTCATGCAGGGCTTACAACAGATTTATTCTCTCACTGTCCCTGAGGCCTGAAGCCCAAAGTGAAGGTGTCAGGAGGGTTCACTCCCACTAAGGACTCCAGGGAAGAATCCTTCCTTGCCTCTTCCAGCTACCTGTGGCTCTAGGCTCTCCTTGGCTTTGACCTTCAACTCCCATCTCTGCCTCCACGTCCCTTGTGTTTCCCTTTTTTCCTTGTCTCTTATAAAATTACTTCTCATTGGATTTAGGATCCACCCAAATAATCTTGTATGATCTTTAAGAAGGACCTTAATACATCTTCAAAGTCTTTTTGCCAAAAAAAGAGGCCACATTCACAGATTGCAAGGAATTACGGTGTGGACATATCTTTTGGGGGGCCACCATTCTACCCACTACAGGGAAACACCATACCCTAGTACCTCCTTGGCTTAACTTCTCAGTGTCAGAGACACGGCTTCCTGAAATCAACAAATTCTTCATTAGGTTGCTGGTTTTCCTTACCTTGATGGTTATTTAAGCACCATTTTTTAAAAAATACTATCTGTGAGTTCATTTTAAAGAAGCTCTAAGCATGAACTGCTATAAAAAATATTTATTCAATCAACATGTGACAAAGGTAAACAGGCCCAATCTTCTGACAGAAGCTTAGGTCTGCTGGAGAACACGGTCAAGTACACAGCTATGGCTATTCCATTCTGATAAGCAGTGAAAGCCAAGTGCAGCTAGCACTGAGAGTGTGAGAAGGCGATACAAAAGAGATTTCCCTTTGAGCCACAGGGGCATCCTCTCAGTAACCCTCATGTGTCAAGTGTTTCCCAAGCTCTGGGTCTTTGAACTTGCTGTTTCCACTGCATGCAATTAACCCTCAACCCCAGTGAGAATAAGCAGTAAATAGTTGCTGTACGAATGAAGGAATGAAGCGGTACCAACAAGTCCACAACAGGATCACATGGACTTTGAGAAAGATGACTGTGACTTCTGGTAAATATGCTGAACAGCAGAAAGACAGGAGTGCTGAATATAATGGAACAAAAAGAATTGAATACACAGAGGAACTCCAAAGTAGTGAAGAGAAAAAAAAAAAATCCTTAAATGGGATAAACACAAATGCAACTCAGCGACTGGGTGGTGGGTGTGCAGGAGCTGAGCCCAGAGGCCTACAAGGGTGTGGGCCCCAGATGCAGGCCTTCCAGGTGGCTGTGTCTAACACTACTGGGTATTCCTGTACCCTAGATCCAGCTCTTCGATTCCTGGGTGTATTCTCAACAGAAACACACACAGAAATTCACCAAAAAACATGTGCAGCCCTATCTGAAATAGTTAAAAACTGAAAGCTCCCAGACATCCACCAACAGAATGTGTGGTATTCTACATACAATCCTTCCATTTCTACAGTGGAACAGTATAAAAACAAGGGCAACGGACAAACCAGAATGAGGGCCAACAACGTGAATGTGTTTCACACTAGCAAGTAGAAGACAGAGGCTTTTTTTTTCTTTTTGAAAGAGTTCATACTGTATGATTCCACTTAGATATGAAGAAAAACAAGTCAAACTGCTCTGGGGGCAGAAGTCAGGAGTATGTTTACCTTGCAGAATGCAGTGACCAGATGGGGCAGGAAGGGGGCTCTGGTGCTGATAAAATTCTGTCTGTTGATCTGGAAGCTGATGACCTGCTAAAGGGTATCTTGTCATCACTTAGGGTTTGTATGCTTTTCTGTATGTGTGTTATATGTCACTAAAATGTTAATCTTAAGAAACACTACCCAAATTTCATATACGGACCCTGTTTGGGTCCTAACACAAATAAGGCAAATATAAAAGCCTTTTATGACATGACTGGGAAATCTGAACAGTATTTGGATACTTGATGATAGTAGAGAGTTGTCATTTACTTTTTCAAATTGAATTTTTTAAAAAAATGATGACATTGTGGTTATTTTGTTAAAAAATTCTTTATGATATACATATATACATATACAAAGGTAGTATACTATATTTTTTTTAAAGATTTTAATTTATTTATTTGACAGGTAGAGTTATAGACAGTGAGAGGGAAGGAGAGAAAGGTCTTCCTTCCGTTGGTTCACCCCCAAAATGGCCGCTACAGCCAGAACTATGCCAATCCAAAGCCAGGAGCCAGGTGCTTCTTCCTGGTCTCCCACACAGGTGCAGGCACCCAAGCACTTGGGCCATCCTCCACTGCCTTCCCAGGCCATAGCAGGGAGCCAGACTGGAAGAGAAGCAAACGGGACTAGAACCCGGCGCCCATATGGGATTCCGGTGCCGAAGGTGGAGGATTAGCCAAGTGAGCCACGGCGCCGGCCCAGTAGTATACTATAGACAACAGAAAATAGTGTCTTGAAAGTTCCAATGTCTGGAAGAGAGGCGGTGAGGGGTTGATATGAAACCAAATTGGTCATAAACTAGTTGTAGAAGCTGGCTGATGTTTGCCATGCTATTTTCTATACTATAGAATACATTTGAAACTCTCAAAGTAAAAAGATGTGTGTATGGGTAAGTATGAATCAATATACAAAAGATCTGTAAGGTTTTTATAAATAAAATTATAGAAATTTATTCAAATACATTTAAAAAATCTGTATGGAGAAATAACCTATGTTTCTGGACTGGATGGTTCAATTAAAAGACCTCAATTTTCCTTAATCTGTAAATTCAAAGCAATTCTAATCAAAATCTAGAAATAATTTTTTATGCAACTTGAAAACAAATCCTAAATTTATATAGAAGAGAAAAAACCCAAGAATAACCAAAACAATTTTGAGAAACAGGATGGCAACTTGCCTTTCTTGTTGCCAACTGCCGCAAAACAGATTATATAACCAAGGTAATTAAAACAGTGTGACGATGGCACACAGACATATGGGCCAATAGTATGAAGTCGAGAACCCAGATCCATACGTTTGTGAGATTTCTGTCAAGGACCACACTGGCTTTCCAATTCAGTGGGTGAAGAATTAGAGATGGTATGGGGATGAACGACCATCTAACCGGAACACACTAACACCAGATCTCCACTTTATAGCACATACTGAAGCCAATTTTAAAGGGAAAGTGATGTATAATAAAATAACATATGTTTGAATATACAAATGTTCAGGCTGACTACACTAGAATACATAATGAAGTACAGTAGTCAGATGCTTGCACCTAAACTTAGAATCACCAGGAACGCAGAAGCTACAAATGCAGACTATGCAGGTGTGTTGTGCTGGCAACTCAAATATCACGAGCTGTGCTCCCTTCAGTTACGTGATTTTTGAGAGTGACGAAAACTCTTGTGAAAGTTCCAAACCACAAATAAGTAAAATTTCCCCATGATTTACATTAGAGTTGCATTCCTGGAAATTTTACTATATTAAACTGTGCCAAAAAATACATTATGTTTATATGAAAAATGGAGTTAGGTTCTAGTCTCAGATAATAAGAAATGAATATCCTGTGGGACAGTCAAGAATTGTACAAGATACAAGAGAATTCTTCACTGTGAGGACTGCCCCATGAATTATAAAACACCCAGCACCCCCAACCTTGCTCTGTAAACTCCAAGAGCACCTTCCAATCACAAAAAAAAAACTGAATGTGTCCTCTCGGATTTCAAAATGCCTCCCAGGCGGAGGACCAGTTCCTTAGAAAAATCTTACCTAAAGAGACAGAGGACATTCACTGCGGCTTCCTTCATAGTAGCAGAGAAAACATAAACGTCTATCAATAAGGGAGTGGATATAATATTATACACACATAAAGAATATTTAAAATGAATTAACTTGATCTATATACATTCATATGAATACATTTCAAACAATGCTCAGCACTAAAAGCAAGCTGTAAAATAACACCCACAGTATGATACCACTTGTATTTTTTAATTAAAAATAGTAATATGTATTATGTACGAGGTACATAAATACAGGAAAAGCATTAACATGTATGCATGAATGATGCCCAACAATTTCAGCAGAGTGCTTGTCTCTGCAGGGGGAGGGGGAGGAGGAGGATTGGGGCCAAGCCAGGTAACAGAAGGGATCTGAACTAAATCTGTGATATTTATTTCTTTAAAATATTTAGGTAGGTGTGCTAAAATGTTAATATTTATTAATCTGGTATAAGTACGTTTTATACTACCCAAGGAAATATTCTCTAATTTAAAATATTCAAGCTACTCCTTAATTCTTATACAGGCAGCCGGCAACCGGGTACATATGGGATCAGAGGCTGGAGATGAGTGACCAACTGCAGCTCTCCAGGTAGGGATGACGATGACGCGGGTCTGAGCTCCCCTGTGTAAACGGAAAGGCTTCTCAGGAGAAGGTGCTAGAAAGGACTTAGGTTTCTAGCTTGACTGAATCAATGGTGGTCCCTGAAGAAAACAACCATTTAAGTCTGGCGCGGTTTTGAATACTACACAAACGACCTCCAAGACTTGAACCAACTTCTACACCCAGCACACAGGACGAATGGCAGCTGGAGCTAGAAACACTGCCTGTAGTTCTCCACAGAAGCGTAAACGTCCATGAGACACTGGCTTCCACATACCCTGTGGCTTCAAAGTAATGAGACAAACACTCCAAGATCTTCTAAGGACCGGGTTCATCACTATAACCAAGACCCATGTCTTCTTACCAAGCGTGCAGAGGAAGGACTGGGTACAGTACAGAGTGCTGATTTGTTAATTCAATGTGCAAATAATACTTGGGATTATTTCCCATATTGTTATAGCTAAATTACTAGTGACAAGGGCATGAAATAAAAATAAAAAACAACAGTGTTTTTATTTCCAGTTCAGTCTTTCCTCAAACCCTTGACCCTTCATGGTCAGACATGAAGAAGTCATTAAGATCCAAGTCAGAAAAAATAATGTTTACCTTTGACTATCTGGTTTAGTAGCTGACCACATGAGCGACTAGGGGGCCAATGGTTTTTTGTGTGTGTGTTTGTTTTTTGTTTTTTCCTCTGTGCTCAACACTGGCAGGTCTTTGGAGTTTGTCCAAAACCTTTTCACCGTATGTGTAGTGCATTCTTGATTCCTCCAATGGTTGGCTCCTCTGGCGTTCACCCAGAGGAAATGGGGAGAGGCATGCACTGAGCGGCCTGACCCTCACACGTAGCCTACGGGGCTCGTCACCAGGCCGCACACCAACGGCCACTGCAGGAAGACTTCCAGCGCAGGACAAACGCGGATTCGCCGGAGGGCAACTAAGCGCTGGTGGTGGTGGGAGATGTCCCGCCCACGCCCTGATGCTCACACCCACGCAAGGCCTTGAGAGGAGGAACAGAACACCGAGTCACCTGCCCTTCTGAAAGAATCACCTTCCCCCTCCTCCCAGCTATCCCAAACTTTCAAAATTACAGAGGGTGGACCGATTTCCTCAGTATTACTCTTCCACTTTGAACACTTCGCGGTCGTCTGAATGTTAAAAATGTTATGATAATGCCTCCAAGCTTTGTAACTAAGGAAAATGCAAGTCTGCAAAAATCAATCAATAAGTAAGTTGCCAGGCTACGTATACGCCACCGTCGTGGCACCCGCTGTCAAAACGCTGCTCGGACCGACTCCAGTAGCCCCTGGCCACCGGCGGTCAGCGCCCCACGGCTCGGCCTCAGAAGCTTCACCCCGCTACCTGCCAGCCGCCGAAGTATCTGAAATCGGGCACTAGCACTTTACTCTCTTAAGAGCACGAAACATAAGAGTCGTTTCTTCTCCGACTCCACTAAAATGTTTACTAGCCACCAGGCCTTGGGTCCAGGGCGGCGGAAGGACGGCCGGCGAGGCACGGCCACCCGCCCACGCCGCCTTCCAGGTTCCTCAGTCCGAGCCTCCGCCTGCCCACCTCCTCCGCAGCCGTCCGGCAGTCCTCACCTCCGCCCCCGGGCTCACCTCTCTCCGGTCCCCTACTCTTTCTCTCTCTGTCCCGCGGGTTTCAGCTTCCCAGGGGCGTTGGTCTACTTACAGCGAATCACAAGTGGGTTTTCATTCAGGCGATTTCGAATTCACCAATTGTCGCCGGTCTTTCAACGTCCGGCTCCCCTCTCATTAGCTTATGTTGGGCCGGCTCCGGGCAACGCCGAGCGTGGTGGGTGGGCACGCCGCCCTCCGGTACGCCCTCCTATTGGCCCGCGCTGGTCGATCCTGGGACCGGCCTTGAGTTCGATTGGATAGCGGCGATCCCGGCTCTCCCCACGCCTCACCACCCTGTCAATCACACCGTTCCCTTCATAACCTTCGAACCATTGGTCAGTTCTAACCCGAGGGCGGGTTGTTGGGCGGAAGAGGGTGGTTTCCGCCAGCCGCCCTAGCTTTCACCATGGAGACTGCACAGGCGTCCTGACGTCACCACCTCGAAGTCAGGAAAACATCAGTGCCTGTGCTGGTGTCTGATGAACGTCTCTTTCGTCGACTTGGGGTCGGGTAGAGGGGCGCAGGATTTGGGGAACAGGTCAGTCCAGGCCGAGTCATTACGGGTCCGTAGTAGCCTTTCTGAAGGGAGCCGCGCCCGGAGTACCAGCTGCAGTAGCACCACGATTCCTCAGTCCTTGGACTTATAGGCGTTATGCTGACGTTCGCATTAAGCAGACTGAGACGGGGCTCAGTCTGCCCACGGGACAGACTGGGGGAAGAGGCTCAGGGTCAGCCAACTCCCAAGCAGGTGGAACTGAAGCTGGTAGTCCACTAGTCCACACTTAGACTGCTCTTATTAGCTGCTAACCAGAACTTGCCGTCATTTTATTCCAAGGCTATGGCCTGTTGACCAAAAAATCCATCAAAAAGGCCAACCAAAAGAAGTGGGACAGAGGGTCATACTCCACTGTGCAATCAGGAAGGGAAAACACAACAGTCAGCACCAGCTACGAAATTTGAGAGCTGCTGTATGTGCGCCTGTCACCTTGGACATATTTTGGACATACAGGGAGCAAACTGTTCAACCCTGGAACGCTGAATCTTTGATTGAGGTAATTCAGCTCCTGGGTGATAGCTTTAGAAAGGAAATCGAAGATTGTGGCATTCCATAGATAGTACATCTCAAGTTTATTCTACTTTGAAGGATTCATCTACAGGCACATACACCAATGAATTCTTATTATTTAACAACTTTTCTTGGCCCAGTGAAGAGCTCTGTGGTTTAGAAAGTCATTATTTTGATTAATTCATTTCACTGAAATTGAATGTTAACTGTAGCTATGCAGTGTTAGAGACCGTGAGACTACATAAGAAATACAACGTGACTGCTGTTTTCTAATAGCCTGTATGTGGTTTTGTAATGGCAGGTCAACCACACGGGAAACAACTAGGAAACATTTTAAAGCAAGATTAGAGGGTACTTCATAAAGCTTGTGGAAATGGAATTAAAAGATATTTTGCCACAAAATTTTGGAATCCATGTATATAACAAATTTTCAAAAAGTTCATGGAAAAAATATATGAAAAAAACGTGGGGCCAGCGCTGTGGCATAGCAGATAAAGCCACCGCCTGCAGTGCCAACATCCCTTTTGGGCGCCGGTTTGAGTCCTGGCAGCTCCACTCTCTCCTCTGCCTCTCTCTAACTCTGACTTTCAAACAAATAAATAAACCTTAAATAAATAAATCATGGATATCAAGAGAATTTTTTGCACCATAATAAGCTTATCTTTCAATTTCATCTTCCATGAAATATTTGAAGTATCCTTGCATAACAATGGGCCAAACCTGATTAATAAAAAGCTAGTAATTCTCCATAACTGTGGAACATTTCATAACTGTCAAAGCACTTCTGTATCATCAGCAAACACTTCGGGCTGGCATTAAAGTGGATGTCTTCTTAGCTACTATAGTGTGAACATAATTTTTTTTTAATTTATTTATTTGGAAGTCAGAATTAGATCTGTTGTCCACTGGTTCACTCCCCAGATGCTGTAACGGCCAGCGCTGGGCCAGGCCTAAGCAAGGAGCAAGGAGCCACGTGGGTGCAGGGGCCCAAGCACTTGGACCATCTTCTGCTGCTTTTCCAGGCACATTAGCAGGGAACTGGATCAGAAGTGGAGCATCTGGGACTCAAACTGGCCCCAAATGGGATGCCAATGCTGTAGATGGTGGCTTAACCCACTGTGCCACAGCGCCAGCCTCCTGTGAACATGAACACCCCAATTGATACACAGGTTTAAGCTCTAAAGTCTTATGTTAATGTGTCGCTCCCCCTCTTCGTGGAGGAACGACACAGGACCCTGCGCTGTTCTTTTGTCTGCTCGGCCCTCCCCGGGTTTGCTGCTGGTTCTTCCCGGGTTGGCTACCATCCCTTCCACCTCCGTGGAAGGGCGGTTCCCCCTAGCCACTTTCCCCACTTCCGCGGGGGAGCGGCACACCGCCTGCCGGCTCTCTCGGGGGCTGCTCGGATGTTATTCAGGTGTTCCCCTTAGATGTTCCTGGTGCATGTTGTCTCTCTCCTCCTTTATAGTCCTCTTCCACCAATCCCAACTCTGCTATCCACACGCCGAGTACGCTGCTCTCCTCCAATCAGGAGCAGGTCCTGCTGTTTATTGGTTGAACTGGAGGCAGCTGTGTAGAAGCTGTTACTCCCTTCTCAGCGCCATATTGTGGGAGAGCAGATGCATAGAATAAGTCTTAATTCCAATAACAGTCTAGTCCGAGTTGCTCCCAGTTGCTCCCCACATTAATGGAGCTGAGAGGGTAGGTACTTAATTACAGTATATGAATTTAGGACCTTTGGGAAGTGACTGGATTGGATAAGGTTGCTAGAGTGGAGCCCTTTGATCAAATTGTGATGATTTTCTAAGAAAAGACCACATAGGTGAGTATACTTCCTGTCTCTCTTGGCTTCCTGGCTCACTATGTTATCATCCCTCTAAAAACCCTCCTGCCATCACCACCCTCATCCAGACACTGGACTGAGGCGGTGTTGTGACAAAGAAGGTTAAACCACCACCTGCAATGCTGGCATCCCATATGGGAGCCAGTTAAAGCCCATATGGGAGCTAGTTAGAGTCCTGGTTGCTCCACTTCTGATCCAGTTCCCTGCTGATGCTCCTGGAAAAGCAACGAAAGATGGCCCAAGTGCTTGGCTACCTGCACCCATGTGGAGACCCAGAAGATCCTGGCTTCTGGCTTTGGCCTGGCTCAAGCCCAGCTGTTGCAGCCATTTGGGAAGTGAACTAGTGGACAGAAGATCTCTCTCTCTCTCGCTCTGTCTCCCCCTTTTTGTAACTCTGTGTTTCAAATAAATAAATTAAAAAAAAAAAAAAGGCACTGGGTAGATGAGGCTGCCCGATCTTGGACTGGACTATGTACCTCCAAACCATGAACTGAAGTAAATGTTCCTTCATAAGCAGCTTATCTCAGGTATTTGTTATAGTGATGAAAAGTTGATTAGTGGTCAAGCGCTGTGGCTAAGCCTCCTCCTCCTACACCGGCATTCCATATGGGCGCCAATTCTTGTCCCAGCTGTTTGTCTTCTGATCCCACTCTCTGCTATGGCCTGGGAAAGCAATAGAAGACACCCAAGTACTTGGGCCCCTGTGCCCACACCCACATGGGAGACCAGAAGAAGCTCCTGGATCCTGGCTTCAGATCAGCTCAGCTACGGCCATTGTAGCCATCTGGGGAGTGAACCAGCAGATGGAAGAACCTTTTCTCTCAGTCTCTCCCTCTGTGTGTGTGTGTGTAACTCTACTTCTCAAATAAAAAAAAGAAAAGTTCATTAATACAATGGCAGAGCTAGAACAATGGCAGGTCCTAGTGTACAGGTAGGAATGGGAGCAGTGGAACAGAGATACAGGAGAATCCTGGAGGGAAAATAGGTTGAAGAATTAGACTGAGTCAAGAATAAGGATAATAATGTGGACACAAAGCATAGAAAATAATGTTAGACCAGCAGGTCAGAACCAGTTCTGAGCTCTTAATATTTGGGGGGAAAGTGGTCAAAAGTTTGATATGGTGCAAATTAACTGCCTTACACTTTTTTTTTTTTTTTTTGACAGGAAGAGTGGGCACTGAGAGAGAGAGACAGAGAGAAAGGTCTTCCTTTGCCGTTGGTTCACCCTCCAATGGCCGCCGTGGCCGGCGCACCGCGCTGATCCGATGGCAGGAGCCAGGTACTTATCCTGGTCTCCCATGGTATGCAGGGCCCAAGCACTTGGGCCATCCTCCACTGCACTCCTGGGCCACAGCAGAGAGCTGGCCTGGAAGAGGGGCAACTGGGACAGAATCCGGTGCCCCGACCGGGACTAGAACCCGGTGTGCCGGCACTGCAAGGCGGAGGATTAGCCTAGTGAGCCGCGGCGCCGGCCCACTTTATTTTTTTTAAAGATCTGTTTATTTATTTGAAAGGCAGAGCAGCAGAAAGAGGAAAGACAGATCATCCATGTTCTTGTTCACCTCCAAAATGGCCACGATAGCCAGGTCTGGGCCAGGCTGGCCAGAAGCCAGCAACTTCATCCTCGTCTCCCATATGAGATTTGGGACCATCTTCCAGTGCCTTTTCAGGCACATTAGCAGAAAGCCAGATCAGTAGCAGAGTAGCCAGGACTCACACTGGCACTCTGATATGAGATGCCAGCGTTGAAAGTGTTGGCTTAACTTGCTGCACCACACACCAGCCCAACCTCCTTACACTCTTAATGGTCAAAGTGGTTTAATTAAATTATAGAGGTGAATGAGGTGATATTCCAAAATTCTTCCTGAATGGATGCAACATTTTTATGTTTTCTTATAAGAAGTTACCTTCCTCCAAAATTCCCCACCCCAACCCTTAACTGGGAAGGAGTAATTAGTAATTAGTTTGCTGATGTACTTATATAATACCCTCTCAATGGAATTGAAAGAAGTATTGTCACCATAGTGCTTAATCTTTTGCCACCTCTGAATCAACTGTGCTCCCTATTCTAAAGAATGATTATTTGACTGTGCATGCATTTTATGTTTAAAAATTGTATTCTGAGGCATTGGTGCTGTGGTGTAGTTGGTTAAGCCTCTGCCTGTGATGCCAGCATCCCATTTGGGTGCCATTCAAGTCCTGGCTGCTCCACTTCTGACCCAGCTTTCTGCTATGGCCTGGGGAAGCAGTGGAAGATGGCCTAAGTGC